TAAAAGATGGTTGTCATCCGGGCTAGATTGCGGATTCATCGTCCCCTCATCGTTTCATCTGTCTTCCTGACGGGATTCGAACCATGGATCGGCGGGTTAATAAAGGAAATACTCTTTTTCCCTTGGCTTTCAAGGCAAAGCTAACTAGTCTCTATTTGCAGCATTTACTGGGCAATTTCTTAATTACTCACAACTGCGTGCCTGTCATCAAAATTGAAGCACTCTTGGTTTTGCCATTAGTAACAGTTTTATTTTACAGATTTCATGAGCCTGATGGAGGTTGAGATGTATCAGTTGAGGTGCATCAGTGATTTTTTTACAGACTGATAACGAGTAAGAACAAATAGACTGCGTGAGCCTGCTATTTACCGCCAAATAGATAAATTAATGTAAAAATTTAAATACATATTAAAAGGTTAGTTTAAGTAGTGTAACAAAGAATGCTTAGTTAGGCACATTGCATGTGTTGTACAAGATAATGTCGCCATGGTAACGGCGTTTAAGGTGTTAAATTCTCCACCTTTCACATTCATGAGTCCATAGTTCGATTCCCGCCAGGATTGTGGCTGAAACTGCCATCCAAACCGACATGAAACCCTGTATAGAAACTTCTCACCTCATCGAAAACACAATGGCCATCAGAAAAGTATACAAAAACAATTCGAAACTGTCATTGGTTTACAGCAAAAAAAGTTCATATTTTTTACATACATGAAAAGGACAGGGGTTTGAGCAGAACTTGAAATTTTGCTCTCCCTTTTGACTGGCTTTGTTGGGCAAGTAACAAAACGAACGTTTCTTTTATCTACCATTTGTCTCATCCTCAGCATACTTCAGGAACCTTAAGACTGTTCTTTCGGTTGAATTTCTCGTTAGGGAGCAAGCCTCTGTTTCGGTCCTCTTCTGCGAATCCAGGCATTAGCAACAAGCCATCATCGCAACGGCTTACCGGTTTTCCGTCGAGGCCTTCCCTGTTGGCCAAACTATTCTGTTCCGAACCATTCATCTGCTTAATTAATCAGTCCGCCCGGAGCCATGGTACAACTCGGTGGCACATTTTACTTTCGAGAAGATCTGGCGTTGGCAACTGGTCCATTTGTATGACCAACCGATTTTTCGTCCCCACACGCCTGTGTATTGTTGTAGTACTCATGACTGCCATTTGGGCTAATTGCCGGGCTGGGGGGTCAGACCTGTACGCGGTGGAGACCATGCATTCTGTAGCTTTGTGTCGGCTGCCAAAGGGTCGCAAAATGGGTAGGCTCGTGTACAAGCGACCCCTGCGTATTGTCATGTTCGAGCCTTTTATGCTTTCTAAAAAAGCCCATTTCACTGGTCCTCCCGCCAATCAGCCGAAGCCGGTTGTTATGACGTCCTCAGTTGAGCAGACTGTACCTGTTGCTCGCTTGACTGTGCTCCATTCTCTGTGTTTGTGTGCCTGTCTTTTCGCTTGGGGTGGCTAGACCAACGCGAGCCAATAGCGGGGCTGCCAAGTGGGCAAGTGTCCGATGATCTATCAATTAGTTGTGCAGTCGAGTCGAGACGGGGTGGAGGGAAGAGAGACAGTTTGGAAGAGGTGAAATCCGTTGCCTGGCCTGGTAGCCGGGACGAATATGCTTTGCGGCAATGGGACATTGGAGGAGGGCGAGGGCATAAACGCCCTGCCGCCTTTTTGTGGTACCAACCCCACCAGTCAGGCTTGTCCAGACTGTATCTGGGCCGAGTGAATATCTCGCCAGATTCAATACGCTTTTGGGCAACATTTAGTTGATTGGAGACTGAAAGCATTCAACGCGATGTAGGACAAACGCCTAGCTATAGACCAACTGAAGAAGGGTCTACCGGTCAGACGAGTCTACCATTCGACACCAGGCCAATTGATGGCTATGAAACCAGCCTCAAAATTCGCCCAGGCCCAACAGACCGCCACCACCACAAGGGCTTTGAGGGGTGAGGAAATGCAACCACTTCTGTCGGATGGGCAAGGCGGCCAGGGATACAAAGACTTCCCAATACTGTGATGGCATTGAAGGGTAGAGTTTGAGAGAACAATTAACTCGTATTGACCCGCAGGTGCATGGTTCGAATCCTGTCGGAAATGCAGATGAGACGATGAAGCAATGACGAATCCGCCATCCAGTCGGGATAATAAAGATCTTTTGAGATGTGGGGCAAAGTTGAATTCAATGCATAATTAAGCCTTTCATACAACTTATTACGGGCCGCTCAGGCTCTCAGCCATACAAAGTTGCTGCTAACGCTGAAACATTAGTTTTGGGCCCAGGCCGAGAAGTTGCTCACTCCATATCCGGCAAAAAGGTCAGTCTTAAAAATCGCCATTTAATCCAGAGATCACAACTGATTGTCCTGAAACGATGCCCGATTCCACTGACGGTTTGCTTGTACTCTGCGAATTCGAATGCTATCTGTCTGTCTGACTTGTAACTGGCAGACCGGCTAGCGACTGAGTACAAACACAATTATTCAAAAACCTTATTCACCCTATTTCGTTTATGGTGATGGCCGACTTCGGTTTCGACCTAATCTGGGTCTCATCAGTACCCCAACAAGAATCCCAGCAGAGTACAATTTCGAGATATTACTGATAGCATCGAGGCCTACTCAATGTAAATATAAGTAACATAGTCGAATAAAGTGGAAAAATTCAAGTTTCTTTGGTCGACAGTCCTATTGGTTTGTCTTGAAATTCACGTCTGCCTCGTAACCCACTAACGAAACTACAATCCAGCTCGTATGAGCATTTATTTGGGATGGATAACCTAATAGAAGTTATGAAAAGCAAAATGGTGTGGCCTTTAGTATGGTCGAAGTCTCCCTTTAATGTATAGAACTGGGTAGAACTCGTTTTCGCAAGGCTTACACACATGATTGTGTAAAAATTCAAATATGAGCCCTTCATCACCATAAGCATGTTACAGTTTTTATTCAAGATCTACGCTTCAGATTCTACTACTTTCTTATGACTTTAAGGGCAGATTGCGTTTTTTACTAGCGGATCATGGGCTAGAATCCCGTTAGCAGTTCATGTAGGGCGTAGAACAGCTCAAATTATCATCATTTCCGGGAATAAAAGCTCCATTGGCTTGTTTGAAACATTGAGATTGTGATGAGATGTATTCACCCTATTTCGTGTAAGGTGATGAAGGACTGGTAGTAGAATTTTCCCACAA